TGCCCCCATCTTTGTTTAAATACAGTCACTGGTTGTGTACCACAAGGCTTTGTATGTGGTAATGTTTTTTAGCTTTCTTGAAGGTTTGGCCAGAAAGGAATGTCTTTTGCTGATGATACAAGGTTTATGTTCCCTGAGATTTTGTAGGATCAAAAATGATTTGGCAGAGAATAGTAAAAGGAATGGAAACTGTGGTTCAACAACAACTCTAAATTTCCTTTGTCTGTTCATGAAAAAAGAATCTTTTGATAAATTTATTGGGGTACAGTGTTGCCCAAAACTACAGTAAGTGCAGAGTAAATAGATCTGGGGTTGTGTATTTCAGATGTTCGGAAAATGGGCAGTGTAGGCTGGCAGGGGGTGGCTCCAGACAAACGTTTTTTGGGGATAATGTACTGGTTCCCCAAGAGGGAGTGTTAATGCAGCACGCGGAGCGCCACCTACACGCATATGTGGGCATGGCCAAAGAGTGGGTGTGGCCACACCCATTCACTGCCCTACTGACACTGTCCCTAATGCCCTAATGACGCCTTCCACCGCCCTGCTGGCACTGTCCACACACCGTTCTCTGCCCTACTGACACTGTCCACTTCCCTATGGATTAGCAGTCTCCTCGTTTAAAGGCGGTATTCCCGAGTGTAGCTCGGGGTAAAGTTTCAAAAGTACAAAAAGCGGTAACCCCGAGCTACAATCGGGCTTACCATGCGGCGCTGCTCCGGCATTGTTGTTCACTTACCTTGTCCTGCGCTCCCCAGCGATGTCCCTCCTGCAGTGTCCCCTGCAATGTAATCCGGCCGATGCCGGCATCTATCATCTGGGTTCCGTCCCCTGCGACGTCGGGATGTACGGGGGACGGAACGGCGGGAAATTTGAAAATAACAAAAGGTGACATTCACTAAATACACTTAAATCACATAGTATAACACATTACTGTATCAAACCATTTCACAGACATTTTGTCCCGAGTGCTTTGTCCTGTGCCCTGCCTGCATTTTTACTGTTCTTATTGCCTGGAAACTGAAAAAGTCCATGGCGTCCAAAAGCGTCCCTTTAGGTCAAAATCGGTTTAGACCAGCTAGAGAACAGCGATAGTAATTCAGAACCACTTGCAGAATTGAGTGATGATTTCGTGGGGAAATTCCTCATCAGACACTGAAAACGATTTTGCGGCTTTGCTCAGTGATGTGTGAAGTGACCAGGAGTTTACTTCCACTTTAAATAAACTATTAATAATAAATTATCATACAACATATATTTAAAAAACGCATTTAACAAAAGGGATTGAAAAAAAAAAAGACGTTCATTGTTAGGGTTTATATAGACAAGCATCAGAGACTCAGATTTAAAAAATAGTTTGCAGATATATTTTAACTATTTTAGAAATCAGGACAATCAAAAAAAAGTCAACAGGGTCACCTCTTTGGGGGAAAGCCACATTTATTGATAATTTAAATCTTAGAAAAATAGTTACATCCCAAAATTCTATCATTTATTACCTTCATGTCCACAGAGTAAATACAGTCTTATTACTAACATGCCATTTGTTCACGCGCCTCATACCTGTATCTGACCATTTCAGGTCTCTGTCTGGTGATTAGGACAAATGATTTTATTTCAAGCATTAGATAATTTATTCAATGTATAATTGGGGAATTAGACCACCATAATCTGATACATTACCTTTGGGTGGATTCCAGTTGGATGAATCACCCAATCTCAAATGTGTTTTGGGAGGTTAGGTATGAAGTTTTCTGCACCCCAACTGATGTGAAGTTTATAGGGAAGATCATTCTTTGTTTTTATTTTATGATTCCAACAACATGAAGCTAATGCTAAGCCCTCCTGCAGCTGGGAGGCCAGACAGAGCCAATGGAATTTCTGAGAAAAAAACATTTAGGGAATATTCACATTACAGAGAATGTTAATGCAACATATTACAGAGCATTACGGCCCACTGCCCTAAGACAGCCCATTCATTCTGAAAGTACTGACAGTGCAGCTTGACTCTACAAACATTGGGCATGCACCTTGCCATGATCATTGTGATGTGCTGCAGTGCATAGTCCTCTACTGTGCAGAGTGTTGGAGCGTCATTCATAACAAATGGCACCACAAAGCACTGCGATGCGTGTGCTGCACTACACAATCAGTTGATATTTATGGCTTTTATGTGGAATATACGTAATTAAAAATACCATTTCTCTCTTTTAAGCTACATTAAAATAATAATTAAAAAAAAAAAAACACACAACATACGGACATTTTCCATTCCGATTCAAGTCATCAATGATCTCTTCTCAGATTCCTCTAAAATAGTCTGAGTGCACTCATTTACAACATGCCTGCTATGGTATTATAACATCAGCGGGTCCATAACATGGGGGGGTTTTGGAATATAAAGGCTTTTTCAGAATATGTGATGATCAGTGTTAGGGGTCGGTGTAGATGGCTTTTGTTCTCTCCAGTATACTATGGGTATGCAAAACCTGCTTGAAGCAGGAAAGGAGGTCGCCTGCAGATCACATGCATCTGTCAGTGAATTCTAAATGATCTCACATGTCTCAAACTAATGCCATCAACACAAGTCTTTGGCCCGATGGCACAGGCCCTAAGGCAGAAACAGCTCAGTGCTTCGCATTTTCTGACAAGCTTCATTCATCTCCATGATGTCTGGAGGTCTCATATACATACAATGAAAAGATCTGTTATTCTGGATATTGGTCAGCAATGGACTCTGAATTAATGGAAAGGAAATGCCAATGTTGGTCTGACCTTTGCTATTTGTAGATGACATCACCATTCATTGCAAAGATGGCTGAAGCCTCTCACCATTCACATTGTTCAAGCGGGAGAGATGTGTCTATCTGATATAACGGGGTTTATTTACTCAGAAAAATCAGACTTCTGCATACATGTTCAGGTTTCATTGCGGAAGAGATGTGTTTCTATGCTGACATACTCTCCACTTTAGTAAATAAACCCCAACGTGTCATCATCCATCTGAAGACGCCTAGCAATGAATTCCAGCATATGACAGTGGTGTCCATGATGAAATGAGATGGTAAATGTAGGCATGGTATAATGTCTTTTTTTACAAATCATAAACAAATCAAACTATAAACTATCAATTACAAGTATAATAAAACCAACAAAATTGAAAACCTTCACCTTATTGCAAATATGTAAAAGTTATTAAAAAATGCAATGCTAAAAAAAGCAGAATTGTGTTGTATAATATGATAATTGCTATATAAATCCTATTTCCTACAGAAAACCTGTCATAGAATATGGCACACTGTGTTTATTATCTCATTAGCAATGTATCAGGATATCAATGTTCTTCTGACTAATGTACAGAGAATCTGTCCCCCAACATCATAGGAAAGGCTGCTCCCTATACATGGCTGGTAATAAACGGAACCCGTGAGGATGGAAATATGAGAGCCACCACTGTGAATCAGTTTTTAGGAGGGCAAGTTCTGGGGCTGTCATCTTGGTCCTTGAATTACTATCATCCTGGTCCTTGAATCCACTACACAGGATTCCCTGACCTGAAACGAGCACACAGAAGGGAGTTCTGACAGCATGCCTGTTTCAGATCACTAACCTCATGATGTACCCAAGTCAAAAAACAGGTCAGCAATGGCATCTCCCATGAATCTATCCTCATGGGTTTACTGTAAAGTACATACATGTACAGGGGTCCAATGTGTGCTCCCCATCATCACTCAGATAATATATAGCAGTGGAGTACGGAATAAGATGATGGTACTATCAGGGATGTTGAATTCCTATAGCCCGATGCCCGGACATGCATTTTCGGGCTCCGGGCAAGAAGTATTTTTTTTTCACACTTAGCCCTACTGCGGGCAAGCAGCAGGGTTTAGAGCCACCCTCATGTAGCCTTCTGCGGGCCGTCCCCATCGACTAGCCGGCACTTCCGCCGGCTGATCATAGAGGAGGCAGAAACCCACTGCGGAGCATGCCAGGGAAAGATCAGTACCTTCTCCCCCAGCAGAGATCAGGCGGCTCCCCGGTGTCACACTTATCCCTGACCCCCGAGGTGGAGCCTGCTACAAGGCTCGCAGTGATTGGGTGGGACTTGAGGGGGTGTGGCAGGACTCAGAGGTGACCACTCCTTTCCACAAATGTGCTGTTGTGAAAGAAGGCTGCAGGACTGGTATGTGTGCTGTGTAGCTGCTGAGTGGAGAGAGAGACCAAGTGGAGGAACTACCAGGGTCTCAAAGGTCACACTTGTGACCTGGCTTTGGTGTTCCGCCACCATGGGAGGGCCACAAGATGACAGGAAAGGGGCCCGCCTGAGGGACCATAATAAAGGGCCTTAGGATAAGTGGGAATGGACATTAAAAAAATGCAACACCCACTAATTTATTCTCTAGGGCCTCTGCTTTAAAAATATATAATGTTTGGGGATTTTAAGACATCTTCTAGCAAAGAATAAAAATTTAACGTTTTCTCGCCATTAAGCCCCTTTCGTTTTTTAAAAGCACCTCTGCCTAATAAACAGCAACCCTTCATAATTTCCATCCTGAAAAAAAAAAAAAAAAAAAAAAAATTTTATTGTGACAAGTAGATTGGGACCCCGATTTAGTCCTTGGACAAGTAGTATTTAAAAAAATTTCCACACCCCTGTACTTACACAGCCCTGATCCAATCAGTTAAATCTATTAATGAGTATTTATGATACCACAGTCCTTTATAGGGGTCACATGGTCAGCCATGATGATTTGATCAATATAGGGAAAATCCTTCTCTCAATCTTCATACAATCGGTGTACCACCATTGTTTTACATTCAAATTTATGCCATTCACAAAACAATGGATTAGAATACATGACAGGTTCTCTTTAAATTACATAGCATCAGGTGTATTGATAAGAGCAGACAGAAGCAAGTAAAATAGGCCAAATCTGAATGAAGAACAGTTGTATGTCATCTTCCCCCTGTGATGTCCTCACTTAATGCTCCATCGTGCACTCTCAGGCTTTCGGGTTGTTGGAGGAGTCAGAATTGGTATCTGAAGCTGTAAAAGAAAGTGTAGAAATGCATTGTGTATGAGGACCACGGTGAATGATGAGTAACATGCAATGATTCCACTATATAAAGTACAGAGAGAGAACATCCTCCTGACACTCTGCTTTCCAGTATACAGAGGAATCTGTACAGAGAGCCAATAATTGGGAGCTCCTCAGTTACTTCTATTTGTATCATATAATGTCGGCTCTGATAATAACGTTCCTTGTATCATAGGAGAGGATGATCTGCAGGACGTCTCATCTCCTCACATCTCCTACACACACCGCACACTACAATCACACAGGAACAGGACATGATGGATACTTACTATTGGTGGTCTTGTAGCCTCGTCCCTTCTCTGCAATGTATAAAATTGTGTTAGAGGCAGGAAAATACAACAAACATTATCTCACAATCTGTCATAGAAAATATCCAAACTTTCACAATGTTGTGTCTGGGGGTCACATACATGGGACATGAACCATCAGAAAGGCCTACACACGCTAAACAGGGACGGCTATGCAAAAAAAAAACGATAGTACAATTTTTTTTTTTTTTTAACTCATTGATGAACTTGCAAATTTTGTAAATGACACTATGGGGGAGATTTACTAAAACTGGAGATCTGGTGAAGCTCTGCATATAAACCAATCAGATTCCAGGTTTTATTGTCAAAGCTTAATTGAACAAGCTGAAATTAGAAGCTGATTGGCTCCCATTCAGAGCTGCACCAGGTTCTGAGTGCTCCAGTTTTAGTACATCTCCCCCTATTGGTGCTCATAAGACATTAAAAGGACTCGGTCATAAGAGAATAATGGAGGCTGCCATTGCTGAAATCATCTTTTGAAAATGCTCCTTTGTTGTCATGCTGATGCTTTGGCCTCAATGTTGTATGAGCTGCTGAACCAAAACAGGTATTGAGTTATGGATATGATGCTTTTCTGTAAAATGACATTTATTTCACAGCATGCTTGTTCCAGGTCTGTGATTCCCAGTGCCAATGGAAAGACTAAAAAACCCAAACTTTGAAATACCCTGTGATGAAGAAATCCTCACCCCTCTCTCCCCCTGTCATTTCATGGATATTATTTTGGATACTTACCTTTTTGTAGGAAAACGTCCTGCAGGTTAGGAAGCTCCCAGGATAGGATCCTTCCTCTTTGAATCTTCAAATCAGGACATGATGACGTCAGAGCATCTCCACTGCACCAACATAGTGGGAGTACAGACCACCATAGTGATGCCCCCCCTCAAAAGCAGGTATACCCCACATTCCACAGCATGTCCTCAGTCTCCCTGGATGAATGACTGTAGGTGTAATTATACCTGGAACACTGAGGGCACTTCTGGCTGAGAGAGCAAGGACTGTGGGGTCCAGTACTGAGGAGTGGAGTAAGTACGCGTCAGAACCCAGAATTGTTTTTTTTCACACTACCCGCTCACTTTGGAGGAATCATACACCTATAATTTTAAGAGGGTCAGTGGGTCACTTTAACTTGCCACCCCTGTATTATATGTTTTACTTGGTTTTTTTAAAATAAATTGAAGTAATATACTACACTATGTATCTCTCTTGTTCTAGTGAGGGGCCTTTCTCCCAACTTCACAGCTAGAGTGAAAATCCAAGCCCTGGTTCCATTGAAGAGGAATATCCTTTGGGATTCCTATTGCAGGATTTCGTTTTCAATACAAGAGGGCGTCATCGTCATCCTGAAGGAGTGGAGGATTCCATTTTTGACCAGAGGTTGGGATACAAAAACTCCAGATATATTACACACATGCGTATTAAAATGTTTTGGTGAAAGCGATGAATGAGATTACATTATGGAGTGATTTTATGAAATATTGTATGTTATTTAGCAGATTTTATATTTACATTGCATAAATAAATATATTTTTTTAATAGTTGTTGTGCCTCACATGCGTTTATCCTTTTCAATACTGTTTCTTTGAAATTCTCACTTGAAGTCCTTTCCTTTATACAGGTATTGAAAGTAATCTGATGCTTTTCTGACCTTTATTTACAGCATGTCACTTCCAGGTCTGTGATGCAAAAGTATTAAAAACCCGAGAGCCCCTGCGATCCCAACAACACCCTTGAGGCCCCCCTGTATTTCATACTTTAGATACTTACCTTTTTGCATGAGGCCATTGTCTGGTCACATGACATGCAGGATCCTCTTCCTCTTTGAATCTTCAACAGGACATGATGACGTCAGAGCATCTCCCTGCACCAACACACTGGGAGTACAGTTCAGGTAGTGATGCCCCCTCAAAAGCAGGTCCATGACACCCCACATTCACAGCATGTCCTCAGTCTCCCTGGATGAATGACTGTAGGGCGTAATTTTACCTGGAACACTGAGGGTAGAATTCTGGCAGAGAAGTACTGTGGGGGACAGTACTGAGGAGGGAGTAAGTACTGAACCCAGAATTGTTCCATGTACCCCTTCCATACTTCTGTACTTTAAGGAATCAACTTCTTTTGCATGTACATATGAATGACATTGAAGTCAAATCCTAAATAAATTGTAAAGTGCCACACCCCTGTATTGTACATTTCTAGTAGCGTATTGGGAAAGATGGGTTTTTGAGGCACAACGTTAAAAAAACTAAATACTTTATTTTTATTGTATTAATACTAGGCATCTCCTGAAGGGGGAGAATTCAATGAAACGCGTTGGGCTACAAAAGACCCGCATATATGTACACCATTGTAAGGCATGTTTTATGAAAGCGATGAATGAGATTACATTATGGAGTGATTTATGAAATCTTGTATGTTATATTAGCAGATTTTATATTTAATTGAATAAAGCACCCCAATAGTTGTGCCTCAAGATCCCATCTTTCACAATACGCTTTATTAGAAATTCTTTTAGAAGTCCATTCCTTTATACGGTGACAGAAAGTAACATCTGAGAAGATTAAACTGTCACTTACTTTTGTACAAACAGATTCCAACACCGAGAGCGACTGCGATCAGAACAACACCGCAGGCAATGCCAATAATCACAGCAAGTGAGAGGCCATTGTCAGGTTCTGAAAGAGAGAGACACATGAGATGGAGGGAACAGTGAGAATCATACAAGTGAGAAGTTTGCAGGTAAAGATCTTTTATAATAGGAGACATTTCATAGTGGACCTCATGCACATGGATGGTGAGAGGCGGAATATATGCTCAGTGTAAAATTCTGGGTGTTTTGCACACCTGGGGGGAAGGTTCCATATACAGCCACTTGGGACCATGTGCAGGCTTTAGAGTGGCCGTATTCTAAAAGCTTCTGTGCATTCCTGCAGCATATGACTGATCCCGTACACCAAATCTCAAATGCCCTCACCCATTACATGAAGAGTGATCCACTGCAGATCGCTCCTCAGAGGACAGGGAAGGTGTAAACAAGCCCTAAACCAGTTACCACCCCCAGTCTCATTTTATCTGCCACGTTGCTCATGTAAAACACGTATCATTTGTTTCCAGGTATCAATCCCCGGCTGTTGTCATTGGCCAGGCTGCGATGATGTCATTGGCCAGGCTGCGATGATGTCACTCCCACGTATGTGCAGGAGATCAGTGATCTCCATACTGCTGAAATGACACCCTGAGCTGTGCGTACGCAGCCCAATGTACAGCGCAGACAGACAGGTAAGCAGCCTAATGCAGGAGACACAGTGGGGTTGATTTACTGAAGGCAAACAGACTGTTCACTTTACAAGTGTGATTGGACTCTACGAGGGCATTTACTTCCAGCAGAACTGCACTGTATCTGAGCTCCACAAACCAAAAACGCACCATTTACTTCATAAATAATATGTAAAGCAAACCCCCCCCCCCCCCCATCCATGTCTCCATGGTATATGTCGCTGATAAATCACTTACAAAAACACTCCCCTAGCATTTCTGGCCGTGGCCATCTTGAATAAGGGCAGATGATTCATGTAGCATTTACTTTCTGGAATCCATCTGCTCTTAGCTCAGGCATACAAGCAGGAGGGTGTGCTTGGCTGAGAAAACCCCCTCCTTCCCTCCTGAATACTCCTGGGATGGATCACATAATTTGCCTAGGAATGGAAACTAGGAAGTAACTAAAGACATTTAAAAAACAGTTTAAAACAAGTAAATCTGATCTACTTTCCTATCTAGTTACTAATGATAGCGGCAGAAGGATTAATAATAGTCCATGTGGATTGAGAGAGTGAAGTTCCACCTTAAGAGCTATAAACGAATATCCAATCACATGCAAGAAAAATTTAAAAAAAAACAGCATTTTTGCTTGCACATGATTGGACGACGGAAGTCATTTCATTTATGAGCTCTGGAGCAAATTCCCTTGCAAAGTGCAACTGCAAGTAAACAGTCTATTTGGCTTTAGTAAATCAGCCCCAGTATGTCTCTTCTGCATTAAACATTCTGCCTGCGTGCAATTATTTTTTCCACACACTAAAGTTACACTTAAACTCCTTTTTCCTCTCGGTGGCCGGGGGGGGGGGGGGGGGGGGGGGGTACTGGCTGCAGTTCTCCTGTACACAGGACTGTAGCCTCACCTTGCCTTAATCACAGGGATTGGTCGGTGACTATCTCATGTTCTTAGGTAACATAACATTTCAAAAAGAAAATAAAATAAACTGCATTTTTGCTTGTAGATGATTGGATGATGGACGTCAGCTGAGCTTCCTCTCATTTACTAAGCTCTGGAGCAACTGCTCTGCAAAGTGCACAGTCTATTTGCCTTTAGTAAATCAAACCCAGACTGTCTATCAGTGTAATCAAGGCGTTGCTATGGGGGTGTGGACTACACCTGGGTGACACCCGCTAGAGGGGTGACACCAGGATGGTCAGCAATCAGTAAAAAATATGTCAGTTCCAAAGCCGACTGGGTGTGAACATTTTGTCAGGCCTCATGCTCAGGGAGTCAGTGGTGTCATGTTTAAACGAACGGCAGCAGCATGACAGTATCCCAGCACTTGGGCGATGTCTGCTGTCAGTAGAGGGGCCGACATCCCACAGAACAGAGCTGGCTCAGCTGGAGTCTCTGCTAACTCACCTCCACGAATCTCTCTACTCTGCACCGGACCCTTCACAGCAAGGAGCAGCCAGAACCAGCGATGTCCCCATCACACAGTGAGTGTTCTGGAGGGGGGACCCCAGCCTCTGCCCTCTCTCATAGAGAGGAGTGCCGGGACACATTACATTGTCAGGGGGGGGGGGGGGAAATCGGGGAACAAGTGCACATCTGAAGAGCCGCCTCATGGATGGATGAGCCTAGGTAGCCAGAACTGTGTACAGTGTGCTTCCATGTCAGTCACTTTCTCTACCTCCCCCTTCCCTAACCTGCCCCCCTGGAATGCTCTGTGCCTGTGCTGAAAGAACTATAGCCAGCTGTCAGGGGAGGTGAGGGGACCAGGAACCCGTCTTCAGGAGGGGGGGGGGGGGGGTGTACATGTCTACTGCCTGTGTGTGTGCTACACTGAGACAACACATGCTGAGGGACCGCTCACCCACTGTATACACAGAATCCCTGATAGAGAGACAGTCCCTCTCCTTCACCCACTACAGTGTATGGAATCACCCAGGTTTCCCTGATTAATGAGAAGAATGGACCCCTTCCCTGCACCATCCATGACTGCTGGAGACTCCAATGCCATTGTGAGCACAGCTATGGCCACAATCTCCTGCACCATTTCTGCAGTCTCTGACCGTCTCCTGTATCATGTCTGCAGTCTCTGACCGTCTCCTGTATCAGTCTGCAGTCTCTGACCGTCTCCTGTATCATGTCTGCAGTCTCTGACCGTCTCCTGTAGCATGTCCTGCAGTCTCTGACCGTCTCTTATATCATGTCCACTATTTCTGGCTCTCTCTTATATCATGTCCACATGGGAAGGGGTGGGGGGGTGTGACACCAACCCTAGTGGCGCCACTGTGCATAACATTACATGGATATTTTAATGATTTCTCTTAAAAGGACCTATTTAAAAAAAAAAAATAATTTTAGCATCTTTACAATCATAGAGGCAGACTTCATGTGCATTCATGATTAGCTTTTTAATTAAAATATCTTCTACTCACCGTATTTCTTAGTAAGAACATCCTCCAGACTGCTGTGGTCCACATGACAGGAGTAAGTCTCTGCGCCCTTGGTTGGCACTTCCACACTGACTCTGATCTGATAGGTGCCATCAGGATGGGGGAGAATTGGAGTAATTTCATCTGAAGGAACATGGTCCTCCCCATTCCTCATCCACTTCACATCCACAGGTCGGGGGTGAAACCCGTACACCAGGCAATGAAGTCTGGTCACATCATCCGACTGACGGCGGCCCCACACCTTCACCTCTGGACGCACTGAGAGAGAGAAAACAAAGAGAATACATAAAGTCACTGATTGTAAACAGGTATAAGAGGGTCATACACATATACAGAGGCAGAAAATGACATTATTTGTCAGAATCTTGTGTGAACAATGACTTGTGAATGATTGATTGCAATCTGGCAGATCAATGTTACTACTCCAAAGATCTTATTCTGGAAGCTGGACTCCAGTAAAGTATACACAGGTGAAGATCATATCCAGGGAAATGTTTTTACCCGCTTTTCTCCATGAAACCCGCTTAACAATTTGTCTCTCTTCATCCAGTCCTGAGATTTATATAAGGGACTGAATATTTTTCTGCTTTAGATAAGTAACACACTTCGATATTTCATTCCCACCCCCAACCTGAGACTGGAAATTAGTGAAAGGATGACAGGCCGACTGATGAGCTTTTCATCTCTATCACAATTAGCATGTTAAAAGGATCGCAGTTCACCTTATGTAATATGTAACATATAGAGGGTAAAAGTCATATGTAACATGTAGTACAGATCCAGGACTGGTCTGGCTGTTTGGTCCTGGGATCCATTCCCTGATAGGCACCCAGCAGCCAGGCACACGGTATTTCACAGTCACTGCAGACAATGACCCGCCATGAATGTCTTGTTTGTGGATTTATTTTAGGGTATGAACTGTGATAGGGTGAGGGTGAGCCTAGGGATACTCCAATCAACTTCAAAGCTTGCAGCAGAGGACACGGATGCTGAACTAATACTTCAGGGTGAAGGCGCCCCCTTTAAAGTGAAGGTAAACTGTCCTAAACAGGGACTCCTCAACAGATGGCAGAGTCCTGAGTGTACTGCAGAGAAAAGAAACTCTCCAAATGAGGCCAAAGAAAGTCTCTAAGTCCAGAAGCCCGGAACTCACTGGGAATGATTTACTAAATGTACATATACTGCGCACTGCAAGTTCAGGTGTTCCAGAGCTTAGTAAATGGGGGGGGGGGGGCTTCACTCTGCAGAGAACACCCAATCACATGCAAGGAAAAATAAAACAAAATGCATTTGTGCTTGCACATGATTGGATGATAGAAATCAGCAGAGCTTCCCCTCAGATCTAGAGAAACTGCACTTTCACTGCACATGTGCCCTTAGCAAAATACCCCCCCCCCCCCCCGTGTCCTGAATACTGTGTAGCCACCTGCAGTATCACTCTCTGCAAGTTTTCAGGAGATCCCCCAACCAAACAGAAGCCGGGACCCCAAAAGGATCCTTAAGCTGCAGATAGATCTCCCAGGGATGCCACGGCCCTCAGGGTGAAGTCTTCCTCCCCCAGGAACAAGAGAGCTCTGCTCTGGGCTCCAGCCTATTTATACCCCTCGCAGCCCCCCCTGCTGGTCATTCACCATCCTGACCAGGGATTGGTTGGAGAGGAATTAATACGCAGGACAGGAACTGTGTTCTTCCACCCTCTATGTCTCATAACACCCCTGGGATACAGGGGAAGTAACCAAATCCTTCACCAAAACCCAGAACAGACTTCACCAAACAATTGTTGCTCTTCCTGACTACAGGGAGGCCAAAAAATACATTTACAGACAGCAGTAGCCATACTGGGGGGCTACAAACATATAGTCCACAATTTTTCATATGTCAGCAGCAGCATTGGGGGGTTTACACTCCCGGTTTTTTACAGCCTCTGGAAATGTGTGCAAACATCACAAGTAACTGTTGGCTTTAGGTTGTTAGAAGCGGGTTCCGGCAGCTTCTATGGACCCCCAATATGTGTGACTCCCCCTCCTTTGTTTTTCCAGGTATTCCACCTCTGGGCCTGGGACCCGTATGGGGAGGGTCACCTTGTAGAGGAGAGGGAGACCAGAGAACATCCATTTTGCTGATCTCCTCTAAACTAGTAAGAATCTGGAAGCACCATGGGTCACTTCTGGGTTTTGGCTGTCACTTTCCCAGCAGTTTCTGGCCAGAAAAGCAGCCAATGCAGCATGATCTACAGTCTGTTATCTTCAGAGAAATGCAGGGGAGACATCGGGGGTTTAGGGAGGTTCGGGGGGGTGGAGATGATGCTGATGTTAATTAAAGAAACCCGGTACTATAAATGTACTGTCACAGAGGGGGGCTATTGGTCCTCCATGTGATAGCAATAAGGTTAGGTGTAAAAAAAAAAATTTTAAAAAATGAAAAAAAAAAAAAAAAAAAAAAAAAAAGGTTTACACCAAGCACTTAACCCTTTTGTTACCAGTTTTTTTTTTCTGCACGTCTAAAAATTAATTTTAGGCCTGAAGATTAATGAAAGCTTACAAGTATTAAATACTTTCAGAAAGCAGAGACCCCGGAGAATACAATGATGGTGTAGATATAATGATACAATATTAGCACAACCATTTATCAAGTACAAATGTTCAGTTTTCAGGGCACACAAACACAATATATTGCCCAATTGTTTTAGGAAAATATGAGATGAGATTGCGCTGAGTAAATAGATAACTAAAAATTGTGCAGAGCGGGGGAAACGGTGGATAATGAACTTTGGTACCCAAACATTTCCCGCACATCCAAACGTGGTAAAAGCCTCTACAGGTGATTAGTTTAGAGTTAGCTGTGAATAATGAGCCGAGAATTATCTCCTCACACTTCAGAGTGAGAACAATATGGGAACATGTTTACTGAACTGACATTTTCATTCATACATTGGGGCCCCCTAAGCGTGTGCTTGATATGTGTGTATACATGGGGGCACAGGAGGGGCTCAGAATATTTTTGGGGTATGAAAGTGTTTGGGTGTAACTTTAATTTTTTTGCACTTTTTTATTTCCACTTAACTTTATTTCCATCACATATTACACATGTAACAGCATTCCTGCTATGACAGGTTCTCTTTAAATGAGGACATTGGGGTCTAGGAGACCCCTGATGTCTTACTTGCCTTCTACTGAAGGGAACCACAGATTGTGCTGCATTAGCTCCTTCTCAGCTACAGCAGCACGGGGAAAGCAACAGAGGGAACCCATAAAGTGGAACTGCACTGCGTACTGAGCACTGTGCACCACACACCAAAATGCTTTAATTCATTTTTAATATTCAAAACAAACTTCTCCATTCATCCATCCATGTCTCCATATTTATTTCCCTGAGAAATCATTTTGAAAAAAAAAAAAAAAAAAATCTCCTGGCTCTTCTGGCAGTGGCCATCTTGAGTAAGGGCAGATGATTCATGTGTAGCAGCAACATCCTGGAAATCCATCTGTCCTTAGCTCAGGTTTGGCTGAGCTGAGAACCCTCCCTCCCCCTCCTGAGATGTATGACATAATTTGCCTAGGCATGGAAACCAGGAAGTAAAATGAAGAAATGGTAAAAAAAAAAAAGTAAATATGATATACTTTCCTATCTATTTATTAATGCGAGCAGCATACGGATTAGAACTAGTGCCATGGTGATTGGGAGAGGGACGTTTTGCTTTACGTGATATAATGAATGTCGCTTCTGTTTTCATTCTAGTTTGTTGGTTGCCCTTCCCCTCTACCCAATGGCACCTGTCATTGGGGGTCCTGGGCCTACATTTGGGATAGTGGAGCCCTGGAAACATGGCAAGGGTCCTACAGGAAGGGGGGGGTCCATGAAGTGACCCCGGCTGTATAGTACACTTCCATCTTACAGCCAAGCGGTTGCAGCAAAAGGTTAAACCACCATAACAAATATTTGGCCCCGTGACCCCAGGAACATACATATATATAAAGTGTAAGATGTCAGTTGTGCTATACAATTACATATCACCTGCACACACTGGAGTGGGGAGCAATGAGAGGTTTATAGTGTCTTCTATGGACAATTTGGGGTACTGAAGTTTGATCACCATCTCACCGTCATGCAGAATGTTAACACTTTACACTGGACTTGATGCATCTCATAATATATTTTATAAACATTTTACCAAAATTGGGTCATATATTGTGTATCTAAAATGAACTTTAGAGTATTTATTTTACTGAAAATGCGCGCATTGATAGACTGTTGTGCTAATATCACGTGGCATAAAAAAATTGGAAAAATTACCATTTTTTATTCTCCAGGGTCTCTGCTTTCAGAAAATATATAATGGTTTGGGGGTTAGAAGTAATCTTCAGGTCTAAAGCTTTTTTTTTTCTTTTAAACATATGTTCAAAATTTTTTTACAAAAACAGCTCTAGCAGTGAAAAGGTTAATATTTAATTTTCCCTCCACAGGCTAAAGTGGAACTAAAACCAACCGTCGACTGAACCGTTTCCAAAAGCACATGCGGAGAATAACTGTCACAGCTGCTTGTGTTCTCAACCGAACTGTCAAGCCATCAAATGTCTGGTGTCAGAACTGATCACATGTGCGGCACCATGGCAACTGGAGATCACAAGGAGGCCAACATGGAGGCTTCCTTGGCTAAAGGATTGGAGGGTTTAGTTCTGCTTCAGGAATCACACGAGCTCCACTCTAACAATTCATTATTCTAATGTGCTTCCCCTGACATGTGCTGTAAGGTGACAACACGGTACAATCTATGGTGGGGATAAAAGGTTCAAAAATAAAACATTTATAACCAAAATGAAGGTATCTTGGATGAGAGAAGAGATTGTACCATGTATTTCCAGCTCTTCTCTGGGATAGATTCTTCATCCTGTATAATTCTCTGTTGTTTGGATGTTAGATTGGACTTTTTGTTTTGGGTGGAGCATAAAGTGTTGTACACGGCTCAAACAAATTACAGGAAGACTTTTTAATCAGAGTATAACATTAGGTCAATGAAACTCCTGGGATATTGATCTGGTCAGTGAAGTAGCAGAGGGGGTTGTTGATCTCCAGGATGGCACACAAAGCACCACCAATACCTGCCATTGCCAGAAGGTTTGCTGTGTCTCCCAGCACAGTCTCGAGAGCATGGAGGAGATTCCAGGAGACAGGCAGTTACTCTAGGAGAGCTGGACAGGGCCATATAGAAGGTCCTTAAACCCATCAGCAGGACTGGTATCTGCTCCTTTGTAGGGCTC